TGCATTCGACACATTGGTCTCTCGAAAATGCGCGACGGCTTGGTTGTAGGTCCAGCGACACGTGCCCATGAACTGCTGAAGTTTTTTTCGTTGTTCTGCAGTCGGGAAGAGTTTGTACTTGCGCATACGTCGGATCATCAGCTTGTCCTTTGAACTCATTTCTTTGCGCAACGCAGAGGCAGACTCAATGTCATCTGTGTGAGTCTCAGCATCGCACTTTAGAATGTTGATCGTGCTCGTGAGATTCGAAACTTCTTGTGTTCGCTCGGTCTTGGTGTCGAAAGCGTCAAGTTTGTATTCGCGATCCATTTCTTTCGTTGACCATTTGCTAATATGGTCGAAGTCCTCGAGCTCTTGCAGCGACAGCAGACGACAGACTGCATTTGCTTGCGTTTCAAATCGGAACCACGGGGCCGGGTTCAGTACGTCTTCTGCCTGACCCAGCGTTTCGAGTCTTGAGCCGTCAAAAACTTCGGCGAGACGACGGGTGCGTTCGTCGGACAGTCTGGCCAAGAGCGGGCGGTATTCGCGGACGTGCCCGCACAACACGTGAGCTGCAATGCTAGCAAGCATACTGTCGATGTTGTTGTCTTGGAGAAGGTCTTCTTTTATAAACGTCCGTAGAGATTGCAAGTTTGTCTTCAAATCACTTGCGTGTGTATTGGAACTCTGCAGCAACGCCATCCACCCAATCTTCTTCCAGCGCATCACGACACACAATCGGATGTCCAAACAGAACTTCAGGTCGCTTGAGTGCACGAAGATCAACACACGCACTTGCTGCATGGCGTCTCGTATGCGATCACGCAGTACGGACCAGGCTGCTCGTCGGCGTCGCTGGAGCTTGCGTGGAGGAGAGAGGCAAAGCTCGTGCTTGATGGTGGTATCTCCATCGCGGCAAAACGGAAAGTGAGCTCACTGATGACCATGAGTGCTTGAAGTGCAACTTCTGTAAAAAAAAAAATATGGAAAAACGTAATTACGTATTGTAGACTCTGTGGTTTGGCTAAGCTCGACAAGAATTTCTTTATCAACGAACAGTCTCCATAGACGTTGATGCCCAATCTTGTGACGGGGTCATACAGCACCTTGTGCAGAGGAAATTAATTTCCTCTAGAGTATACAAACTCTAAGTGAACGACCGTTCACGTGTCCCTGGTCTGGTATGCCTACAACGGGGTATTCACCACCGTCAATGCCGGGAAAGACGAGTAAGTTGACTTGTGCTACAGTGTCCACCTCGAATCTCCAGTAGAGGACAAGACCGTCCACTGTGCCTGCAAATACACATAATTGGGTGCGAGTGGATTCGTCGTTGGTCGTCTCTCTGTCCTCCTCGGTGGCGAAGATGGACGAGTTCTGGCTTGGCTGGGAGATAGGGAGCTGGAGGACGTGTAAGGAGGACACTTCCACTTGCGGTGGCTCGTTCCAGAGCACGAGAGGGACAACTACGTCCTTCCCTGTAGCATGAAGCTGACGGACATCTCGAGCTTCCACTTGTGTCCTCCAGGATGCGGTCTTCCGCACCATATGGATGCTAGTGGATAGCTACCTGAAGACAACGGATTACGTCACCTACAGAGCGATTTAGAAATCCAACAGCGACGAATAAGGTAGATAAGTCGATAGAATATCGGGCGCTATGGATTAAATGCAGCAAGAGAGCGCGGGGGGTGCACTGAGAAGGACGCGGATCTGCCTCCAAGCTGCTTGAAGCGACGCTGTGCGGCTCACTTTGTGTGAGGATGAAGGTGGTAGCGTAATAGCTCGTATAAGTACGAAATTGTTTTGAACGAATTATATTTTTTAAATAATTTGTTCAAAACTAAACAATTTAAAAAGATAAATAACTTTATAATATTTTTAATTTCTAATAGTATAGTTTATTATAGGCATTATTAATAACTTGACAAGTTGAAACTCAACTCGATGAAGAGACCACAGCGAAGATTGATCGATGGATCGAGCGGATTCTCTTGACCTTAACCACAGCAAAAGACACTTAGCCATCCCTTTGTCCATGGAACTTCGGGACTCTCACTTTCGGTTTTCCTGTCTCCAGCTCAAGTCATCTCAGTCTTCATTGCAACAACCAACACAATCATTATGACGACTCGCCTCGCACTCGCAATTACCGCAATCGCCTTCACCAACGGCTACGCTCTCGCGCAAGGACCTCGTGGTCCTGTACGTATGGGCCCCATGCCGCGTGGTCGTGAGCAATTCGGTGCTGCTGGTGGTAGCGGCAATGGCTTTGGAGGTGGAATGAGTGGTTTGGGCGGAGGTGCTAACGGATTCGGTGGAGGAATGGGCGGCTTCGGAGGTGGTGCCGGCGCGGGTGGTCTTGGTCAGTTCGGCGGAGGGGCTAGCGGTTTTAACCAGGTTGGTAATAATGCTGGCGGTGGCTTTGGTCAACTCAGTGGTGGATTTGGGGCCGGCAACCAACTTGGTTTCGGCGGAGGTATGGGCGGCTTAGGAGGTGTTGCGGCAGGCAACGGTGCTGCAATCGGTCGAGCTGGCACGACTACCAATGGATTTATGGCTGGTGCAGGTGGTGTCGGTGCTCCGAGTGCTGGGGTGGTAGGTGCGGCGGGAGCAGGACCAGTCAACGGTGGAGCTGCCAACGCCGGACCTGTTAACGGTGGAGCTGCCAATGGCAGACCCACCAACGGCGGCGGGCCTGTGACGCCCGCTCCGACGAGGCCAAATGGCGGACCAGTTCGCAATGGCCCCGGGGCTCCTCAAGGTGGAGCTGGTGTTGGCGATGCTGGTACCGGTGCCGATGCCGGTCCTGCTGGTAACGGAGCTGGTGCAGGTGGTTTTGCTGGTCCTGGTGCTGCTGGCGCAGGAGGTTTTGCCGGTGCTGGTGGGCTGGCTGGAGCTGGTGGCATCGGACGTGGTCAGTTCGGAGGACTTGGTGCCGGTGGTCAGCTCGGTGGACTCGGTGGCCAATTTGGCGGTGGCATGGGCGGAATTAACGGGCGCTTCGGTGGCAACGGTCTTGGCGGCTTCGGTGGAATGAACGGCGGTGCTGGAGCGGGTGGTTTCGGCGGTGCTTTCGGCGCTGGGGGTGCCGGAGGGCTTGGTGCCCAAGGTCGATTCAGCTCGTCTGGTCAATTCGGCGCCGTCGACGGCCAAGCCACTATTGACGAGGATCAGTAGTAGTCCTGGTAACTCCTCTCGTCTGTCTTCACTACATGTAGTTAAAACGTATGCAAAGTAATTGATGTTCTACAGCACGTTACAAGTAGAAGTATATTGTAGATCCCAACTTGTTGGATCACTGGTATTCTGTCTCGTTGTCTTAATTTGACCCAGCGCGAGTCTTCACGGTCAGTACGATCTAATGGCGTACATCACATTGCACGACAGAGCAAAGAGTATTCCACATGGTTCTTGAAAGCTGAGAGAAATGTCAATTTAATCGTCAACTGCCCCATCCGGTTCTGTCCAAAAAGATTAATATGTTTGATAACGAAAGTCGCCACCGTAGTTATAGCTGTGAAAGATCACTTGTTCTTGACGTGTGAGGGTGCGACTAGGAATATGTACACGTTCTCGGCCGACGTCGTTTTCAGCAAACCGGGGCGGGAACTCGCTCGTTTCTTCATCACGATCAAGTGACGTAGATCATCGACCTGCATAAGATACACAACGCTTCGAGTTAGCTACATAAAGTTTTAGTCTTGAGACGTCGACTTACAATCGTCGGGTTGAGATTAAAGTAGTTGTGTCGGATCGCGTGCACGTTGTTGTCCATCCAAGTGGTGTCGATCACATCCATGTCGAGGTAGTGAAGAGGGGCATCTTCCTCACCCCGTGTTGTACCATACGGGGCTGACTTGTCATCAGTTGGGTGTGTCCTGCTGCGGTTGTACGCGAATGAAGCCACGCCTGGGTAGTTCGCACGCTGGTTCACTGCTGCGTAAGCTAGATCCAAGTCTAGCGGTGGAGCCAGGTTTTTGTTCTGCCAGTTTAGAAACTGCGTATCGGACCGTCCAGCCACCTCATTTTCTTCAGGATCGCGATGGATCATGTGTCCACGCCTACCGAGCGAGTAGTTCAACGGGCCTGCGATGGATTTCATCGAGAGATACTCCAAGTAAAACAGTGCACCATCCATACTATCCGCGTACAGCGTGATGTGACTGCAGAAATGCCGGGAGCGATCATACCCTCCACCGTATTTTACAAAATCGTTGCGGTCGTAGTCCGGGTTACAGAACGTCAGAGTTGAGAGTTCCAGCTTCCTTGTCATACGAGCGACATTGCTGTGACTTCCTGTAGGCTGAAAATCAGCAAATATTTACGTTAGCTACGGAACGCAGTACAATAGACGGCCATTAGAAAACGTACCAAGAATACTTCCTCCAAGAGCCCTTTGTTTAGAGCACTGAAGAAAACACGCGCTCCCATAGAGTGTGCAATGATGTTCAGCTTTGTGTACCCCGCATCAATCAAGCTCTTCAAGAACAAGATAAAGTCATCAGCTGTGCGTTCGCTCTCGCTTCCAACTCCTTTGGCTGCGTGGACAAACAAATATGTCAGCAAACAGCGCATACAAAATGTTTCTAGTAGCAGTCCCTCTCTCACCTTGAAAATATGCCAGTACTCCTCCACTTGGCCAACTAAATACAAATGGGTGAATATACGACGGGAAGTCTCCGAGTGCAAGAAGCTGCGCCAGACGATTCATGCCATAGTCCAGAGAGCAGTTGTAGCCGTGTAGCAAGACCAGCGCTTCTTTGCCTTCCTCACCCTCACTGCTAGGGAGATCAAGTACAGGGGCAGACTCTTCCCGATAGAAATTCCGTCTCGTGGCACGGTCTCGCTCTTTGCGCGATTGTCCACGCAACATCGCTTCTTCATCTCTATGGTTGAAAACAACTCCATCCGTCGGGGTTCGCAGTGCCGGAAGACATTCAGTCGCGCTCTGAGGAGACTCATCCACGTACGACGGCGTCAAGTGCGTCACCGTAGGTAGGTATTTGAAGAACCCGCCCGACACCGAACACTCCACGCTCGCCACACCCCAATTTAACCCATTCTCCGAGTGTTTCGGGAAGAAAAATATATCCGTCGGGGTCTTCTCGCCTCGATTGTGGCAGAAACCAATGCGAATGTTCACAAACGAGTACCCACTTCCATGTTCAAAGCTGCGGAACGGGCCAACTGGAACGCCATTCTCCCATTGGCCTGTCAATCTCTCGCCGTGATACGCCGTGTCCGTCCACATACCAAATCCGTGCGGCTGGCCCTGTGAATTCAATCCTCCGCAGTATTTGACAACGCTGCGCTTTCTGGTGTAAAATCGAGCTTTCGAACGGTACGTTAACGAGTTGGTCTCAACACCAGGTTTGATGTTCCACCAGTTCACGAGATTAAATTTTTGGTGCATCACCAGCCACGGATACGCGTAATGCGTGAACCAATACGCCGCTACTGTTATGACCTCGACACAACTGAGCAAGGCGACCATAACGCTACGCACTTGTTTATCTGAGTCGGTCACTTCGTTGTCATCGACCCAGAACAAAACGTACAAATTGCCCGTGATAGCGTAAGTTAGCAGCTCGGCGATAATGACCCAGTAAATGATCCACCGCACGATCAACGCCAGTTTGACGAGAATGTACAACGCCAGCAAGATGATCGCAAAGTAGAAGACGCCGTCCGATAAAGACGCTTGTTCGCTATCCGACGCTGTAGAGTTCAACCACATCAAATATTCACATGAGCCGGATAATAAATTTTGAGAGCAGAAAGTGTCAATTGAACCTGAATCGTTGGCAGAAAGCACAGCGAACACCACGATGATGTACAGGACGATGATCCATGTGATGAGCTGCGTCATGAACGAGTATTTTCGGTACACGCCTCGGTATCGGCGTTGCAGTCGCCGTCCTGTCATAACCCCGAAAGACCTAACAGAATTATTACATTAGGGTTTCATCACAATTATCCGTGTCAACAGTGGTACCTACTGGTGGAAGTCAAACTGCTCTGGTCCGTCCTGTGCGTCAGCTGCGAGCATCGGAGGCTCCTCTGTGTGTGTGGAGAGCTGCGCTGGACTGTGATAGCCACTGGAGAGTGCCACCTCGTTGGCCATGAGGCTGGCATCCATGGCAGCGGAGGAACAAAGCGGCGTGCGCTCAGTGGGAGATGTCTGTAAATGGTGCGGTGCTGACCGCATTCGCCTATTTCTTTGTCAGGGTCTGCCACCTACACAAAGTATACACCAAAGTCTGGATACTTGGCTCACCCACAAATTGTCTCATACGGGAATACAATTTTGTATCAATTGGAATTATGAGGCCAGAGGGATTATGAGCCAGCCAATCTACAGATTTGGACGTCCAGCAATCGTGGTCGCAGAAAAAAAAAACTTGTTAAGCATTGGCAAGGCCAATTTGGCAGACATGTGCTCGTGTTCTTTTCCTTTATTACAAATACGAGGAAAGGCACGAGCTTATCGCAACTACTTAATTTTGAAGTACTTCAAAGAAATTCACAATGTTGTGTGATCCTCGTCATATCGGTAGTACGCACTTCTGATTACCACGATCAGCACGACCCACACATGTGTATCCCGATTATCGACCTTTGCCACTGTACCAAAAGAGCAACCGCAGTAATAGTAAGCTTAACGAGCCAGCGTTGTTTTTAATGGCGAGATTGGCTACAGTTATTTTGAATTCGCATTTGTTGTGGTTGTGGGGCTCCAGACAGTATCGAAGGCAAACACGACGAGCTCTACACCATCGCCTCCTGAGATGCTCGAGTCGGGCACTTTATCTTTTTAATAACTTCCAGGTAAGTAGCTTAAAGCACTTAAGGGGTGCCAAAGTAAAAACTGCGAGGAATTTGAGGAACATACGCTATAACAACAACTTCGAAGTATAGCACTAACGTTACGTCCTGTCAATAATGTTCACTTGAAAGAAAAAAAAATCTGAATAGCTCTACCACTAGCCAAGTATTACAAGTAGAAATAACATTAGATTTGTAGAGGGTACCTAATTTTGAGCTAACCCAAATACATTATGTGAGGAGAGTGCAGCAAGTGACCCTGTGTACACGCATTCTCTGCTGATGATTCCTCACAACGGAAATCGATTCATAATTGATCGCCTTTTTCAGGCTCGCTAGTCGCAAAAATGTCTGCATTTTTGGATATACGAAGTATGACGAACGTGGATTGCAGTGGCAAGTATGACATTATATACACTAAACCAATGTATCAACATCTCGAAAATGGTTGCAATAACTTACCTATAATAGCAGGATAATTGCTCACGCCATGAGTTCGTGGGTCGAGAGCGACTCGGACGTACGGTGTATTACGCTCACATCTCGGGAGCAAAGTCTTGTGGGCTCCTTTCGTCCAGCGTCACTGCCAAAGATGCGGGAGAACAAACCTCCTTCGACCTTGCGAGCCTTGCTGTTGCTGCGTGGCAGACGTGAAGATTTGCGCCGCAATACCATCGCGTACTGGTTCTTCTGACATCGTCTCGGGCCGTCGCCTTCGTGTCTTCGGGGGTTGCAGCTCCAGACGTTGTCTTCCATGATACTGGACAGATACTCGACGATCTCGTGGTGTTTCATTTTGGCTGCCCCTTTCCGAGCCTGAAACAAGCAGCCTCTAGTGGAATATCTACACAGCAGTATTACACATTCCAAATGCCCGTTCTTGGCTGCATCTTCGAGTGCACGTGGGTGTGGACCTTCCATTCGATGTTTGCCCAGGAATTCGACCACCTTGCCGTGTCCGAACCCTGCAGCACACCCCATAGCCACAGTCGTACACCCTTCCGAGCGGTGATCATGCAAAAATCGTACGACCTCCAAGTGGCCATTCGCTGCTGCCATGTCCATGGCTTCGTACGTACAGCCTTCGCTCCGATGTTCGTGTAAATACTGTACGACCTCCAGATGCCCGGCAATAGCTGCAGCATCCATCACTCCAGGTGTGAACCCTTCATAGTCGTGTTCGTGCAGCCATCGAACAGCCCTGAGATTTCCTCGTGACGCAGCGAAACACAATTGCCACGGACGGATATGCACGAACTGACGAGGCACATGATGATGCAGCCAGTCCATGACCGCCAGATCTCCGCTATAGTGAATGGCGTAATTGAGCAAATTGCCTTCAAACTCGTAAATATTGAGATTGCAGTGCGTTCGGATCCATTGGAGCGCGTTGAGTCGGTTGAACATGACGGCGCAGCGTATAACCTCGTAGAACTCGAGACGAGGGTTACGTTGATGCTCCGGTTGCTTGGAGACGCGGTATAATAGCTCCAGCATGCTTAAATCGTCTCGGATAATTGCGCATTGCGGCAAATAACCGCGAGGTTGCGGGTAGAGCGCAGTGATCGGTGTCACGTGTTGTTTCCGTTCCTTAGATGCACGTCTGGCCTCTCGAGCCGCAAAGGCACCCACAGCGAACGGCACGCCGCTCATGAAGCCGCCGATGTGGTGCAACAACTCGCCCTGTGTCAGGACCAGCAACGCCGGCGGGTTACCGCGAGGGAAGAGCGACATGAACGGACAATAGTTGTTGAGCTTCTTCTTGATGTTTTGTGTGTGACATGCTGCGAGTTCGTAGTTTAGTTCTGGTGTGGTGTACATAACGTACCCATCAAGTTGAAGTTGGTGATCACTCCAGCGAGTCCATTGAGCAAGTGTATGGGGCATTGCAAGAAGTAAACGTTCTCGAGGGTACGAACATTGATCGCTTTTCTTGTCTTTTGGGTGGTAGGGTTCGAAGGCTTCAATTGAAGCCACGCGATGCTGGTGAGGGGACATGTACTGCGGTGCGTGATTCACTCATGATGAATTGACATGACGTAAAACTCTCAGTTGAACATGCATTGTGGGAATTGCGCTGTACCACAGCCGCCAAGTACATGGTTTACCGGGTAATTTACTAGTCAGCTGCGGCGATTTGATCAAGACGATCGATATTCTCCTTGCCATCAAATTGGCAATGCTTTGGAGTGATCGATTTGAGACTGTGCTGTGGGTGCTATTTGCCACCATCAGGGTCTGATTAACTCGCAACCTGCGTCCATGCTGCGTGACGTGGTAACGGCGCCAATGTCTGTCGTCGAATTCATCATCTTCTATGATCCGAGGAAGTGTGGGCATGCATTTTTAGTTTTTTTTTTTTTTTTCAGATGCCTCCAGTGTCGGTAAAAATACTCAACAGTTTTCTTCTGGCATGCTCCCTGTAAATAGTCCGTCGATCACCTGGACACCAGAAACCACTCGAGTCCTAAGTTACATCCGAATCGAGCTTTGGTGGAAAGTGGCACGACATCTCGATATTAATCGACGTAGCGGCATTCATCGCTACCTCCGAACCTTTTCGGGTTTATGCATGAGCGTGACGCCCAGCCTGGTCTTCCGCTCGGCCCTACAGCAAGCAATATGGCGTTACCACTGCCTCAGAATGCCATCCGATCGGGTCGTAGCAGTTTTCCAGGGGATGTAGCCTTGGTATCTCAAAAAGTCGATGCTACCTCCTCTGCAAATACCGTCATTACAAGTCAAAGTAAGAAGCGACACAATAAGTTTGACTTACTTACCAGTTTGCTTCGCCGGAACCGAGTAATCGACAACACAAGCGAACCGAGTGATAACACGCAGGAACTCATCAAAAGTCGATTACTATTCGTTAACGACGTTAAGCGGACGATGGAGTACGCAACCTACATGCAGAAATTCCACCATGCTGATCCATACTCGGCCAACACCGTGCGTTCGTCCAAGTACTCGGCCCTCAACTTTCTCCCAAAGTCGCTCTTTGAGCAGTTCCGTCGCGTAGCCAATTTCTACTTTCTCATCATCTCTCTACTGCAGTTGTGTACAGACTTGTCGCCTACGAACGAGTACTCAACTATTGGTCCCTTGATGCTCGTATTGACAGCTACGATGATCAAGGAAGGATTGGAGGATCGTGCACGACATCAACAAGATTGGGTGGTAAACCACGGGAAGGTTGAAACACTCGACGGTATGGTAGAACCAGGTAAAAAGCTAAAGAGCGCAGGAGACATCTCGCGCACGAATCATCTAGGGGATTTCCAGTCGATCTTTTGGAAAAACGTTCGAGTGGGTCATGTGATCAAAATCCACGATCAAGAACAAGTACCTGCCGATATGGTACTTTTATTCTCTAGCCAAGAAACGGGTGAGGCCATGTGCGAGACCTCCAGTCTCGATGGAGAGTCCAACCTGAAAGTTCGTCACTGTATCAAGTGGAATCACATCATCCCGCATACACCGAAAGAGTTTGGCGACTCTGTACATGCCGAAATCCGCTGTGAGGCGCCCAATAAAAGACTGTACAGTTTTGACGGAGTGATGCGGATTTCCCGTTCAAAAACGCAGGCAATCGGTGAACCTCCGAGGTCTTACTTGGAGGCACGATCACTCGAAAATGGAGACGAAGAGAACGCGCCTGAAGCTGAGGAAATACCTATCACTATTGAGAATGTTCTCTTACGTGGCATGAAGTTGTGCAACACGAAATGGGCCATTGGTGTCGTCGTTGGCGGTGGAAATGACACGAAACTAGTGCAGAACATGAAGTCGATCCCGTCAAAGTTCAGCCGCTTGGATCGTATCGCGAATCGCTGCATTTTCCTCATTTTCTCGGTACTTTTCGGCGTGTGTTGTTTCAGTTCTATCCAAGCATCTCTGTTTGTTGTAAAGGTACACAGGAAGCCAGGATACGCGTCGGCATATCCGTTTATTGCAAAATTCCACCCAGCGTACGTCTTGGAAGCGTGGGTCACGTATTTGATCCTGTACAACAACATGGTGCCGATCTCTCTGTACATCAGTCTGGAGGTCGTAAAATGGTACCAAGCGCGACGTATCGAGAACGATCCCAAGATGTACTGCCCCACTACAGGTCGGGGCGTGACGGCACGTACGTCAAACGTGAACGAAGATCTGGGCCAGATCAAGTACATTTTCAGCGATAAAACGGGGACGTTGACCAAGAACCAAATGCTTTTCAAAGTGTGCAGTATCGGCGGAATAATCTTCGACGGGTCCAACATGCAGCATCGTCGTGCAGCTCAAGCTGGCAGTGATGATCTGTCTATTGGAAGTGATATGATGCTCAAGTTTGGCTCTGCTTCTACTGTTCGAGGGAGCAGTACGGGCAGAGAAGGCAGCGCGGATGGGAGACGCAAGTCCAAGCACGTGTCCGTGACTGAAAAGGACGTTCGATCGTACTCTCAGATGATGAAATTTGTGGAAAACCCCTCCCGATTTTCCGGTAAAGAACTGCATGCTGTGGAGTTAGCACGGCCATTTTTCCGCTGTTTATTGCTGTGTCATTCAGCCTCGGTGGCGATCGAAGATCCCTCTGGTCATGCTGACGCACATAGCACAGCAAGTCGAACACCAACGGAAAGCAGCATACGAACTGAAAGCCGACGCCACAGTGCCGGATACAATTCGTTTACGAGCAATCTTGCGGCTGCAGAAGCAACCGATGCGTTTCCATCCCTTATTAAGGGTGACCATAAATTCTTCGGTTCTTCCCCCGATGAAGTTGCGCTCTTGAATGCTGCACTGGAGTTTGATTGTGTGTACGAACGACGTGACGGCGATGTTATCCACATCAGATTATTCGGTATACCAGAGTCCTATCAACTACTGGCATTGAACGAGTTTGACAGTACACGCAAGTGTATGTCTGTGGTGGTCAAGAGGTTAAATCGAGACGATTGTCACGATTCAAAACTGGCTCGAGTTCAAGATAATTTAGGGGATCTGGAACATACAGATCTAGATGGACTGATTAATGAGTCTGAGTCCGAAGAGCAAGACATTCTGGTGTTCTCCAAAGGAGCTGACACTGTGATGTTCGCGAATGCTAGCAAAGACCAGGATATCAACAAACTGGCGCTACATGTTCACTACTTTGCTGCAATGGCTCTACGAACATTACTACTGGGTTATCGCACATTGTCCATGGCGGAATATATGGAGTGGAAATCTGAGTTCGATTTAGCGAAGAAAGCGTTATCCAACCGAGAGCAATTATGTGTGGAAGTGGCAAGGAAAATTGAGAAATCGACCAAGTTATTAGGTGCCACTGGAGTGGAAGATCTGCTTCAAGACGGAGTGAGAGAATGTATTTCGCAATTATCTCTAGGTGGTATCAACATCTGGATGCTTACTGGAGACAAGGACGAAACAGCCATCTCGGTTGCTCATATGTGTGGACTAATTGGTCCAAAGAGCAAAATTATCATCATCAAGGGGAAAACCAAACAGGATTGTCTTGATGAGATCGCGAAGGCTCGACGCAAGCTGAAGAGAGAAGGCGTGTGGGTCCCTGGAGTGGCATCTCAGGACATTTCGTTGGTTATCAATGGCGAGGCATTGGAACTCTTACTGGCTGATGCGCTCACATCGAGCAAAATTAAGTCGCAAATATCGTACATCAACGGTAATCAAACATCTCCCAACGCAGAGCCTCATAGCGCAACGATCGATGCATTACGTAGCGAGCGTGATACTCGCTTTAGTGGCTCAATGTCTGCCAAATCGATGGGTAATTTACCATTCCCTGCGACTCCGAACTCACGGCATCGCTCAAGTTCGAGACCCGGATCAACACGCAGCTCCATTACGGACACCAATGGCAACGTTCAATTAGCCCATGAATTGTTTCTGGAGCTTGCTTCTCAGTGTAGAACAGTAGTGGCGTGTCGACTGAGTCCAATGCAGAAGGCGCAAGTGGTGAGCTTAATGAAGGCAGCACCTGGTACACCGCTAACTCTCGCTGTTGGGGATGGGGGTAACGACGTTAGTATGATTCAAGAGGCTCATGTGGGTATCGGTATCTACGGACACGAAGGAATGCAGGCTGTACGCGCTGCAGACTTCGCTATTGCCACATTCCGTCACCTTTCTCGCCTGTTACTTGTACATGGACGCTGGAATCACCGACGGGTGGCGCGGGTTATTTTGTTCTCTTTCTACAAGAACATGGCGCTTATTATGACGCTGTTCTTGTATTCTTTCTACAATGGGTACTCAGGACAAACTCTGTATGAATCTTACTTGATGGTTGGCTGGAATGTGCTGTACACGGTGCTGCCTATTTTCGTGCTTGGAATTACAGATGAAGACATTCGAGACAGCGCAGTCCTTCGATTCCCGTTCGTGTATCGGAGTTCACTTAGAAAAAGTGAACTGAGCATCAGAATCTTGAGTTTCTGGGTCGCGAACGCACTTTTCCATTCACTATTGGTATTTTACTTCGTCATGAAAACTATGGGCGGAGTATCGTCCAAACACAGTCATACCAATGGTCTGTTCCCGGACGGTACTGCTGTCTATGGAGCATTGATTATCACCGTAACACTGAAGGCTTCTCTACACACCCAATGCTTGTATCGCTGGACTCGAGCACATTATATCTCTCTGGTTGGTGGGTTTTTGGCCTACATTTTGTTCGTGGGGGCGTATTCCCAAGCCTACCGAATGTTCCCAACTTTCGACGTCTTTCGTGATTTCCAAGGTCTCGCACACATTCTCTTCTCCGAGATGTTGTACTGGGCGATGCTCTTCTACACGTCCGTCACTTGTCTCTGTGTAGACTTGGCTGTCATGTACTTGAGGAAAATGTACTTACCGTCCAGTAACGATATCATTCTCGAGATTGATAGCGGCCTTGGGGATATCCCATCTTTACCGGTTCGTAACGCAGATGGCTCCATTGACAATTCTCGTGCAGCCAAGTTAATCTACAGCTCATCCGGACGCTCAGAGGAGGGAAGTTATAGTGGAGCTAGCAGTGCAGTAGGTGGCAGTACGAAGGGAGAGCTCACGCCTTCGCTACTGGAAGGCGAATGGAGTCAACAATTCCGAGACTTCGACCTGCCTACAGAACACGACGAGCTCTCCAAGCAGCTTGTTTCTATTCAACGCGAATTGGCTCAAGAGATTGGACACCCAGATCCATTAACGCAAGAAGACGACGCTCATAGCTCTCGAGCTCTGAGGGTTCAGCCTCCTGTTCACCCTCTTACACTTGAGTTCATGGGTGAGGAACACCAACGTCTTGAGATGGAGTACGAGATCACCTTTGCCTTCCGGGAACGCAGTCGTGTCATGTTGTGTCTCAAGGTGATGGCGTTTATGGTCCCTTTGTATGCAGCCTATGAATTGCTATGGGAACGCGAGTCCTCGTACATTTACATTCGCGTGGGCTACTTCGTTTGCGATGTTTTGTTCATGCGCTTCGCCCGTACCAAGTACTTCGTCCAATACTACCAGATCGCAATTCTCCTCCCGTACTGCATGAGCGGTATGGCTCTAACGTTGACTATCTCGGACACTGGCAAGTTCGCTGCTGCGTTGTACCCCGTCGTTCTCTTCGTGGTGATTCGCGTCAAGTTTCTCTACGCCCTGATGCTCTCGATCTACAATTTTGCCTTCTACATGTTGGCGGACCGACTGAGCTCAATGAACTACAATAACAGTGTGGATCTCACCGATCTCATGCTGTTTGCGTTGTACTTGGTCTTCGTTATCACTTTCGGAGCTTATGCGTGCTACTCGCTTCAGATCACCATGAGACGAGACTTTCTCCAGAGTCGATCACTACTTATTGAGCAGAAAAGATCGACTCAAATCCTAAAAAATATGTTACCGGAGCACGTGGTGCAGCGCATGCAGAAGGGAGATACGAACATCAGCGAAGATGAACAGGACGTGACGATTTTGTTCTGCGATATCGCCGACTTTGCCTCGTTCGTGAACCGCTTTAGCCCTACCGAAGTCGTGTCTCTGCTTGATCGCGTGTACTCGCTCTTCGACCAAATCTGCCAGAAACACGGCGTTCGGAAGATGGAGACGGTCGGGAAGACGTACATGGCCTGCGCTGGCTTACAAGGCAAAGATCACGGTCGAGAGGCGGCGCTTCGAGCTGTGTCGATGGCGTTAGATATGCTGGCGTGTCTTGACAAATGTCGAGCTTCCAATGGCAGTGGGATAAAGCTGCGTATTGGCGTTCATTCCGGTCGTGTAGTGAGTGGATTGGTAGGTATGAAGAAGCAGCAGTTCTCTTTGTTCGGCGACACCGTCAACACAGCGTCGCGTATGCAGTCTACAGGAGTGACAGGACGCTGTCAGATCTCCCAAATCACGTACAAGAAGCTGGTGGGTCACTTCACCTTTGAAGAGCGACAGATCGACGTGAAAGGCAAAGGCACCATGACTACTTATCTGGTGGGTGAGCCTCTAACCGAGGTGGCTCAGTTGTCGTGTCTAGGTCAACTGGAGTTCAGTAGCAAGCGAGACTCCGTCATGATGTCCTCGTCGATCATTAACGTCCGTCGCGCGTTTGAGCAGGATTTCCTCGCTGCAACAAGAAACAAAATACTGCACTCAGCCAGACAGAGATGGAAGAAATACGACCCCATTCGGATGCTTCTGGGCACGCCACCCGATCTCGCGTCGTGGGGAGGTACTGATACTAGTGAGAGTGTGGAGCAGCACATGCTGACGGAGATTCGACTACTGAATATGTGCTTTAAGGATGACGACATGGAGAACAAGTACCTCGAAAGCACACTATCCAACCGAGTAGAAGGAGCTCGCACTACGCTTCTCGCTTTGGCAGCATACGCTTCGTTCACGTGTATGCGCGATCTACTGGTCGAGGTTTTCTCGGTTATCAGCGCATATGCCCCACAGAAGGAGATCTCGGCCACGATGTACGCGATTCTGCTGTTTATCCGAAGTCCTTTTGTCATTGTGGCCATCCTGGTAGCACGAAGAGTGAGAGATGAATTCGTCTTTTACTCGGAGACTAAACTGCGCAATGTGCTGCTCGGGTTCTACCTCGTCGGTCTCTTTGTGTTCACACTTACTCAAGCACTGCTATGGGGACTCAACTACGAAGCAGATCTCGATACGTCACCTCGATATGTGAATTTGTGCCTTGACACTGTACTGGCGATGTTTGTAGTCTCGAACGGCCGGTCCATTCTGTACCGTCACGTGGTGGTGTTTAACGTGATAGCGTTATTCATGGTGTCCATAACGACGTTGGTATCACTGCAGAGGTACCACCAGGACGCAGCCAAGTTCAACTCGAAGTTCAAAACCAGTTATCCCATCGTACTCACGTACTTCTCAGTGGTGGCGAATATCATCGCGTCTCAAAGTGTCGAGTTCTTCACACGACGTCAGATCTGGCTCAAGACGCGTACACAACTGGAGACGATGAATGCTGATCGGCTGTTGTATCAAATGCTTCCGGCTGCTGTGGTGATGCGACTGAAAGAGGGAGAAATGGTGTGCGATCAACATCAACAGGTTGGTATCCTATTCTCCGATATCAAGGGCTTTACATCCATCGCTTCACAAGCTGCCACAGCCCAAGTGGTCAACATTTTGGCTTCACTCTTCTGCGCCTTCGACAAGCTGACTGAAAAGCACGGAGTGTTCAAAATGCAGACTATCGGAGACGCGTACGTGATCGTATCAGGACTGCCGTATGTGGACATGAGTCTTGGACCTGGGGTGGTAACAAGCTCTGCTAGTACTGCCGATATGTCCATTGCAGACGTGGGGTCGACCAGTACTCCGAGTATCGCTGGGATCGCGTCTGGGTTTATGAGAATCTCGAGTAACCGCGTGTTGCCGCTGGAACGGAAGACCGAAGTCATGGAAGGTCAGAATGGCAGTCCGAGAGGCTCTGGCTCCAAGTTGCGGTCGCATCTCTTACGAAGAAGTACACTGAAACACAAACACCAAATGCACTTGCGTAGCCATATTCGAGACCTGTTAGCCATGGCTCGAGATATGCACAAAGAAGTTCGTAAAGTGCAGGACCCGAATACCGGTGAGCGGCTGCAGATGCGAATTGGTATCCATATCGGCAACATTATTGGTGGTGTGATTGGCACTACTACACTACGGTACGATATGTGGGGCCCTGACGCGCTCACAGCGAATGAACTCGAGTCGAATGGCGTCCCTGAGAAGATTCTAGTGAGTCCCGTTGTACAAGAAGTGGTCAAGGACATGATCGACATCCGCTGTACATTCCACCGCAAGATCAACTTCACTAACGTCCCGATGATGGATACATATCTCGTCGAGTTCATCGAACCCGACGGCACTGGTGGTCGAGCAAGTGGCTGCATTGCTGGTAGCAATGTTCGGGAAAATAGTGGGATTCCACCCGAACAACTCAACCCCGCACCAGGATACGTAGGCTCCGACGACGACACAACTCGACCTCAAAGCCCACGTGAACACACTACTCCTAACTAGATAAATCAAACCATTTTGCTAATTAGTGGTGCCTTAACAGTAAAGTTGAAGTGCCCTCAAAAGATACTTTTGGTGTGTTAAACATCATATAGAAAATTCAAAATGGCTACAGCTTGGAAGATAGCTATAGCATTATTTCTGTGCTAGAATTGTCGCTATGACCACGACTACATCGCATACTGGCGCTGCGTTGGCTGTCCTGACGGACCATGGACTGTTACTACATATTACGAGCTTCCAAGGAGGACTGCCCTATCTCGTAGGTAAGATCGACGCCAGTCTCGACTGCTTTACCCAGCTAGGAGCCTTCCGTGGAAAGTTGCCTCGGTTTGCCATTCGTCAACGAGATCTACACATGCTCGAGGTGCTGCAAAGAGCTTCGCAAAATCCGAGACTTCAAAAGCTGCCGCAACTGCAATTTTACGGGGTGCGTCGCTGTGCCATTCAATACAACAGCCTTCAACTTCTGAAATGGCTACATGCCACTCGGGACAAGTCTCCAACAATGACTGACGAGCCGAGACTGCTCGGCGCGGCGATAACCTGCTATTTTGACAATGTAGAGATAATGGAGTGGCTTCACAGCTCCCCAGAAGGGCCACATGAAGCAGTTGACAGGGTCACGGAAGTCGAATTGTGCCATGCGGCGGAATTTGGCAACATTCGCGGCATCCGTTGGCTGCATGAACATGGATGCACAGCCTTTACCCCACTCGTGATGGATACAGCTGCTACACATGGATACTTGGAGCTGGTGACGTTCTTGCACGAGAACAGGACAGAAGGGTGCACAACGCGAGCCATGCACGGGGCGGCGTTGAATGGATACCACGAAGTTGTCAAGTTTCTGGCGCTTAATCGATCGGAAGGTCCAAGTGAACGAACGTTGGAGATGGCTACAAGTGCAGGTCATTTACGTTGCGTTAAGTTACTCTGCAAAGTTGCACAGCCTCCTCGTGGCACGGACTCGTGGAACTTCAAAGTGGCTCATCAGTGTGCGATTGATGCAGGCCACAGAGATGTGGCTCGCTTTCTTGCCATCCAGACCGAAAAGGGAACCAAGGAAAAGAAACGCTGGTGCTTCGGTCTCTTTTGAAGCTAACGATATGGATACACATGTATTATCAGATTAACGTTACGTATTTTTCTGTGCAATAAAACGTTTTACAACCACTGGAACCACCACCACCATCCGGAAGGCTTTTGTACTCTTGATTCTTTCTCGATTCTATGCTCGTTGAGTGTTTCTTTTGATGTTTCAAACAACTTCTCAGTTTGTCTTTGGCACCATCGAGGGCCCGAGCGTACGTGATAAATTCTCGAGCACGAGCGAACGTCAGGGTTCATCCAGGCCGACAAGAGCACTGCTACACGAGGATGACCAGCTTGAAGCGCAGCTCGACGTGCTTCGAATAGACATCCGCGTATCGAGCAGCGAATTAACGCATCCACACAATCAACGTGGCCTTGCGCTGCAGCACGTTCGAGAGCGTAGTCATGTGGACCTTCGTGTCTGTGTTCTCCAAGGAAACGTACTACATCAGCATGCCCATTGATCGCTGCGTTGGTCATGGCATCTTTCGTACATCCTTCCACACGATTTTCTTGTAAATACTGCACAATTTCTAAATGGCCGCCACTTGCAGCACTGTCCATAGCTGCGGTTGTGCACGGAGTTCTTCCCTGCTCATGAAGAAAGCGCACGATCTTTTTGTAGCCATTTTGACAGGCTGTATCCATCGCCTTGGAAGTGCAGCCTTCTGATCGATTTTTCACGAGAAACTCGACAACTTCGACATGTCCTCTCCACGCTGCACCATCGATGGCTCTAGTGGTACATCCTTCCTTTCGATTGTAGTGTAAAAATCTGATAACAGACAAACATCCCAAAAGCGCTGCGCCGTCCATTGCGTCCGTCGTGCAGCCCTCAGTTCGATCGTCATGTAAGAACTGCACCACCTCCAAATGCCCACTTCGAGCTGCTCCATTCATGGCCTTCGTCGTGCACCCTTCATTACGGTGTTCATGTAAGAAATGTATGATCTCTAAAAATCCTCCAGCAGCAGCGTCATCCATCGCAGCAGTCGAACAGCCTTCGGTTCGATTGTCATGTAGGAACTTGACCATATCCAAATGTCCATTGCGTGCAGCTCCATCCAAAGCTGCAACGGTACATCCTTCCGTTCGTTGTGTATGCAAGAACTGTACCACCTCCATAAATCCATTCCTCGCCGCGCCATCCATAGCTGCAACTGTGCATCCCTCCGTTCTCCGCTCATGCAGATACTGTACGATCTCCAAATGGCCATTTGCCGCTGCTCCATCCATCGCATCGGCCGTGCATCTCTGCAGTCGCCTGTCTTCTTCCAATAAGAACCTCAACGTCTCCATCTTGCCCATGGTCGCCACTAAATCCACGAGTCTCGGGTCTTCAAATCCGCTTGTGGCCAGGCCTCTCTCCTTCAGAAACCTTAACACTGGAACCCCAGCGCGACTCAAATCTTCGGCCTTGACGTCTCTCAATGTCGATCTCGGATAGTTATCGGCCACCCACTGGACAATTTCCAGCTTTTTATCCGATTTAAGTACCTCCGAGTAGCGTACCGCCCACCCCATCAGCGTACTACCTTCTGTTCTACTTGTTAAATGCTCTACACTACTATCGCTCAGCAACATTTCTGTGTCTGCCAGGTACTTGACGATCTCCAACTGGCCGAACTGAATGGCGCAGCGCATAGCCCCATCAAATGCCAGCTCCGGTCGCGACTGAAATGTTTTGGTAGTCGACAGTCTGCGCAAGTGACGCAGCGTTTCGATGTCTCCACACTGAATGGCGGCGCGTGGGAGAGCGCCAGTCGCGGACCACGGGACGCCACGATGGCCGCGCTGGAATTCGGTGACTAGTGACATGACGTGGCCCGGGACGCCGTCGATGAAGCTCATGATGAGGCGGAATAGCGACCGGTTGGTCAGCACCAGCGTGGAGGCTGCAGGCGATGGGGACGCCATGATGGAGCTGCTGGCGATTTTTTTTTTGAGATGCGGTCCTTCAACTATGCGCTGAAACATCTGGTTACTCTGATGAGAGATCTCATAATTTTCATTACTCGATTACTGAAATCACCCACATATATCGCTGGCCAGAAATAAAATATTTCAATTATGGTATTCCATAATTTTACTTTTAAAAATTTAATCGACCTAAATATTTGTGTTGATGGACTTCGAAGAGCTCTTCCCGCCACTGGTGCCTCTGGACGAGGCTACCAAGGAAGAATTCGGCTCTGTGGACATCAGCGCTGATGATATACTCTTGCCTCCGCTGGAGAAGGCTGTAGATGACGGCATTTACCGCGCATTAAGGCGTTGGAACGAAGGAGACTCGGCGTTGACGGACAAAGCGCTGCCGTACGCCGAGCGAATTAAGAAATACCAGCGTATCGCTGCTCTCGCATTACAAAGTGATGGGTCGCTCATTGTTGAAGAGGAAGTGGAGGACGAGGAAACCGAGTCGGAGGGAGAGCAGCCGCAAGAGGAAGACAGAGCAGCGGTTGTGGCCAAGCAGAAGGCGGCCACTGCGGCGATGAGACAGAAGAGAAAGGAACGCAAGAAGTTAGAGAAGGAAATGGAGAAAGAAAGAGTGAGATTTGATACAGTATTTGAAGAACTGGACGATATTGACAGCTTGAGAGCACAGAGAGCGCCCAGCGAACGGCTTCAGAAGTTCGTAGACACATTTAAGATCAAGAAGAGACGATTGGCGCAGAAGAGGTCAATGGCGAATACGATCACAGCCATGTGCTTTGAGTTCGCACGACCGATGCCGGATGTGCATGGGCAAGAGGACAATGAGGAAGAACAGAAAGCGAAGGAGAAGGTGGACAAGCACGACGTTCCAAAAGACAACGACCCGATTCTGTGGTTCGACGTGCTGCATCCGAGCAAGGACCCAGCGAAGACGCAGTCGTTCCTAGTACGACGCTCTCAGAGGATTTCTGAGCTTGTAGATCTGATTGTCTGTGCGAATGACGAGAGGTTAAGCGGACACGCGAAAGCGTCAAAGCTCGTGTACTTTGGTCAGCAATTCTTTGTGGATCGACGCGTTCGTGGGAGTCTGGACTACTCCGAGCAGATTATTCGCTGGATTCGAGCTAAGCCTGAGCGTCAGGCGAAGTTCGGTGCATTTACTGATAATGCTCGAGCACATCGGAGTCTCCACGCGTCAACTTTTGCTGATCTGGAGCTCCACGTCGACGTACCGGGTGTGTACATTCATCAAGGAGAGTGTGAACACCTGCTACGGCTTCGAGATGCGCGACTACCGCATGAACTTGACGCTCCGAAGAGCGCTGGTATATTCCCTTTACGTTTACCGAATCCGCTGAATCGCCCGCTGCGCAACTGCTTGATCTGTCAGAATTACAGCGCCAAGTATGTGTGTTATGGTGATCGAATGGCAGTGGTAGACCCCATGTTCTTCTGCAACCGCTGCTACCGTGCCGCTCACTACGACGCTAACGGTAACCTGCTCTACAACGACTTCTTGAGCTTCCCGTTCATCCAAGACTAGCCTTCATCATACTCATAATTTAAAGTGGCTGAATCCTGTTACGGGAACTTGTCGTGTGCGCCGTAGTCGTTGTTGGCTGTCCGCGAGGCCTTGGAGAACTTGGTTAGAGCCAGAACGCCAATACTACACGAAGCACTGACAACGAACATCATGTCGAAGTATCGATGGAACACGTTAAACTCAATTTCCCCCAGCACTTCGTCGATTCGCTGTCTGCAAACAATAACGCGCTGTTAGAGTCCGAGTTACAGTTACAGATCGCCCCCTAATCGTTACCGTACCGATGTAGAGGACTGAGGTTCATCCGCATGAGGACGAAAGACGACACGAAGTACATCCCCATGAGGTGGGCCAGCCAAAGCACGACACTATTAGAGGAGACAGTGCTCGAATAGGTGCGAAAGAACTTGAGCAACGTCACAAGGAAGCCTCTGGTCTGCGTGAACACGAGAATCCCCACAAAACCCAGTGAAGCGACCTCCGATACGAAGCGGATGTTCAGCTGTTCCGCAAGTGATGGCCAGATATACAGCAGCTTCTCTACTGCATCCGTGATCGGATCCTTGTCGCGATTCCTCCGGAAGACCACGTTCACTGTGCTCATAACCATCTTGTACACGCAGAAGGCAGACATGACGTAGCCGAAGAAGTTGAACACGCGGCCCCGGAACGTCCTCGCTCGCAGCGATCTGGCCTGCACATCTCTCAGGTCATTCACCTCCAAGAACAGCTCGCGTCCGAGACTCTCCAGTGTCAAGATCTCCGCTTCAAGTCCCTTAATATACGTGGTGTCGTCCTGTTTCGATGACCAGAAGCTGAACGCGCGAGCAAAGATCGAACGCTTCTTGTTCCTGCTTGCAAAAGCCTCATCCTGTCGTCTCGCCGACGCACGTACCTCTAACATCAGTCGCTTCTTCTTAGCGATCAGGATATCCAGATTATGACGCAGCCTTTTCTCTAAGAACTCGATGTCTTCCTCAGCTACTCGTCGCCAGAAGAACGTCATGTACTCGTACGGACAGTTAACTGCACCAAAGCCAGACAGCAGCGCCATAAACACCACACCTAGCAGACTCACGCGACTCACGAAATTGCGAATAGAGAACAGCGCTGGGATTAACAGCACCAAACAACAATGGCACCCGAATCAGTACTGAAACCTTACATCCTAGCACCATTTTCGCTTAGAATCCGAACATCAACGCACCTTCAACTGACTGACGAGGTAGATCCGGTTCAAGCACTCCACCAAGTCTCCAGAAGCCGTAAAGGTAGAATAACAGCAGCGTGCATGCTGTCATCGCTGCTTGTCGTCTTTCCACGCCGTACTCCCTTGCCATCGCGTAGAATAGTGAGACCGGCAACACCAGCACCACTAGATAGGTCATGGCAATGAGATCTACACGCCATACCCATTGGCGACTGCCCACGTGCATCACATCCGTCACTTCAAACAGAACCATCTGAAAAATGCTCAGTGAGAAGGTCAGGGAGGCTGCGAAGAGCAGCGGAGTGGCGGCACTGCGCACGGCATAGTCACGGAACAGCCACCAGGAGAAGAAGAACCGAGCGAATAAGAAGAAGAGCAGCCAGCTGCCCAGCGCCAAGGCCGCGTCGGAAGGTGGCAGTGCCCACAGCGACAGCAGTGTGACTTGTGCCATAGCTAGATTGTAAGAACGTCTAGTGTAAAGCTCAGATAACAGTGGACCCAATTAAAATGTCTGCTAACACAATGCCATAATTATCAAATTACCCATAATTTCATAACAATTATGGGAATAATTTTGCTTGTTTAATTTATCAATTTCAATTCTGATTTTGTACGATATAGAAATCGAAATGTCCCATATGGAAATGAACATGCTCCGATTTGCCAATTTCAATTTTACTCGAAAATGGAGAACTGTGAGGAATCGCGTTCTCGGCGCAGTACGAACGCATCGGTGCTGGTTCTAACGAGCCGACCGTTGTTCGAGCACGTGACGTCGTTCATGGACGGGCTGCCGCTTGTGGTTGCCAAGTTTGCGCGTGCTCAACGGTACAAACCCCGTCTGGAGGGACGATATCCCTCATCTCGTGGATTATTACCCCAACTCGCAGTCATTTGCGACGATTTCGTCGTTTTAGCAGCTCTTTTGAAGTTAGTGAACAGCTATTCGTCGAGTTATCGCAACCCAGAGACGGAATTTTACGGTGTGATACGTTGTGCCGTGAGATTCGACAAGCTGAGCATGCTGCAATGGCTCGAACAAAATTTGGATATGAACTCATACGAGTTCGAAGTGGATTTGATGGACATTGCAGTGGGTTACACGAAAGGAGTAAAGATTATGGACTGGCTACTATTACACGACTCGGCCATGAAGCAGCAAGTATCCGCTTGGGCTCTACGACTCGCAGCTTATAACGGGGAACTACAGAAGATAACATGGCTACATGACCACGGGTTTCGCGGATTCTCGTGCACTACAGCAGATGATGCCGCGTGTGCGGGGCATACCAATGTATTGAGTTTTCTCCTCGAGAATAGGAGGGAAGGTTGTAGTTCACGGGCCTTGGATCAAGCCGCAGCACATGGTCATATCGACGTTGTGAGGTATTTGTTTTCGTTCATTCATGACCGAACTGATGCAGAGCAACATCGAGTCATTGCAAGGGCGTCCTTTGCTATGACCAAAGCGGCGCTGAGTGGGCATGCGGAGATTGTGGGGTTTCTTGGACGACGACAGTGTACACCGCTGAATAGTACGCTACTGGATGTGGTGGCGGCGGGAGAGCTGCAAGTGCTGAAAGAGTTATGTCGATACTCGAATGAAGGTTGTCTTGTTGAGGCTCGTAGGCGAGCGAAAGCGCTGGGTCGTGCGGATATTGCGGCTTTCTTGCGTACCCAAATTGTACCTACTGCATGGGCGTGCAGATTGCATCGACATTCACGATCCGGACCACGGCGATGTCAAAGGAAACCGAAGGGAATTTGAAAACAATAGCTAGCTCTACCAAGTTGGTAGGGACAACTGAGTATATCTGACTTGAACATACTGGACTCCTGTCATACGGTATTTGCGTTAACCCTTTCGTGAACACGGGATTATCACTTTGATAAAGTAAACTATACAACTCAAGTCGTTAAAAACGAGATGAAAGGGAGCATTTTGCCCCCATTCATAAGGTCACGATACTCGCCGCTAAGCTGCCCTTTTTAAATAGTGGAAGGGGGATGAAATTTTTAAAAAAATTCTTGCCAAAGGGGCATTACGGTACTATGATACTACGTTGGATTTGACAAATATTTTTATTGGCTATTATTAGGACCACATCTTGGAAAATTGATTGTGATGCCGGTGATAGGCTGAGCCGTGCCAGACATGCTCAAGCAATGCATCCTGTAAATTACAATTGATCTACTTCAACCACGACACGGATTGTCATGGTGCCTAAATCAATAAAAAAAAAAGTGCTGACAATTTCGCGCCATTATCAAATGGAATGATAGAAGATAATGGCGCGAATTCGTCAGCGCCGGCGTAACAATAAGGTCGTCAATGGCGCTCTTGCGTGCAATTCCACTGGATAGGAAAGTGTGTTGCTCGGTAGGTTCGTCTATATAGCTCTCATCGTGCTCCACTGGTGCCGCACGGACACGGGTGCCAACTGCATCCATCGGGTTAGTTCGGTGTTGATGTAGATCAAGATCCCTATAAAAGCCGCAGGATTGGCCCTTGGCGATCAACTGAGATCCCGCTACGCCAGCGATCTTGCGATCTCATGAAGCCGTGGGTTACGCGAGGCAACCGCTGGGTCCCTACCGTCGTGCTTGGTTCGGGCAAGAAGTGCTACCTGAAGATCACCATTGTTAGTGACCGTGTGATATGGCTCCAAGAGCATGACGAGTTGGACTGTGGTTAGCGGAAGGTCGGGTACCACGCTTACCGGGATACGTCCTGGTCGGGTCGAGACGCTCAGAGTGGCAAAATCTAGCTTACCAAGCTGCGGCTGACGTGATCGACGACGTGCCCGAGGTGGTGGAGCTACCAGGACCCGCCGTAGAGTGACCGTCGTACACCACACCGACAAGTATCCTGCCCAGACCAACAGCGATTTCACCTAGATTGAGGCGATCTCACCCGAGTCGCAAAATCTACGGCCTGGTATGGGCAGTACTGTTCCGCGGTTACGGTGCGACAAGGCAGCAAAGAACACTGACGAAACCAACCCAAGGAACGACGTGGAAGCCAAACGAAGGAATGCGGGAGTTGGTCACCGCTCAGTTGAAGAAACGCAAGCGATCAGTGCCCCGTCCAACAATCAAGAATGTTCAGCGGGGTTCGACGGTGTGACAAAAACTCAAGATCACCGTACGAATGTAGGATTGAGCGACAAGGCGGCTGAGAACAGTAAAGAAACCATTAGAAGGAACACCGTCGAAGCCGGCCGACGCAATATGCAGTTCATCGACCGGGTGGCAGACACGCAGGATAAGTCCGCCCCATCCCGTGATCAAAAATTTTCTGCGGGGTACGACAGTCCAACAGAAACGCATGATCGACTCACTGAGACAGGCCCGAATCAGATTCGTAATCAAGATCGACGTACAGCGACAAGTTTTGAACAAGATCGACGGACGTGTGTTGTGCAAGATCGACGTACAGACTCGGGCATTGGGCGAGATCGTCGGATGGAGCCAGAGACATATTGGACTCGTAATCAAGATCGTGGAGCAGAGTCAACACAAACACAGTCGCTCGGAAGAGCTTAAACAAGCAGACGGCACCGAAGGTGGCCACGTGTTGGACGCAATATCAGCACCGCACGAACTTGGGGACGAGGAATGTGTATCAGCGAAGGGGGCGACTTCTATGCAGAAGACGTTGACGATAACATGGCAGTCCTTCCCAGACCTCGCTGAACCGACGGAGGAAGCGAAGAACGAGGATATCCAAGTAAGAGATTCAGATTACAACACAACAGAGGCAATCGACAAATTGAGGCGAATCATCTGGCGACGTCACCATCTTCAGATCGGAAAGGATAACGCCTTACCACCAGCTGCGGCAGGCGTCGTCTGCGACATAGATGTGAGAAACACCAAGCCCGTGCCCGAATACTCGCCCCACAGCTCCGCGAGAAGCTGTTCCTGGTGATCAAGGGACTGTTGTCCGCCAAGACCATCAGCTACTCCACCTCGCCCTGGGCGTAACCCATAGTTGTTATCATCAGAAGAACGGCGTGGACATCAGACTCTGCATCGACAATTGACTAGTGAACAGCCAAACACGGTTAATGATGTACCCGATGCTCCTGATTAATGATATGCTCGATGATCTCGACAAGGCTATCTGGTACTGCTCGCTGGACATAGCCAGCAGCTTTTGGGTTGCTTCGATGTTAGATCGAGCCCGAGCGATCTCAGCGTTCATCACGCCTTTTGGATTATTCGAGTGGAACCGTACGCCGTTTAGCCTCAAGAATGCTCTTCAGATCTACCAGTGATTGCTAGATAACGCGCTATACGGCTTCGTCAAGATCATGAATAACCAATATCGTGCCAACAAGACTGACGTATTCGAAACTGGAGAACCCGATCAGGGTATAAAGTCTTCCGTTCTTAGACGTCGATCTTATATTGATGACACCCTTGTGGCGGCGGGACTGTGTGAGATGGCAGACAAGCTTCTGGACGTATACGGCGTGTGGAAGTTGTCCATTAGCGTGGCGAAGAGCGTCTGGGGATGGCGTAAGGTCGACTTTCTTGGCCATTGTGTTTCCGCAGACGGACTTGAAGCCAAACCGAAGGATCTGTCGGTTCTAACCAAACTGCCCTTCCCAACCACGCTGAGATCGATGCAGTCTTTTTGGGTAGTTTGAATTACTACAGTCGTTTTAAACAAAAATGTTTTTTCCATCAAAATTCATCAAATACTAGAATAAAATTTTTATGTGTTTTAACAGGACGTTCTAAAAGTGTTTATCGTTTATTTAAAATTTCTAGAATTCAATTACGTAAATTAGCATCAAAAGGATTTTTACCATCGAAGATTTAACGGTCTATGCTTCGATACTGTATGAGCTTCGGGAAGCGGATTTCTATGAGATCGCCCAGAGGTCCAAGATCGAGACCGTAGCTGGGAACGATAATAGACCTGAAGAAGATGGCAAATGGACCAGATCAGTCAAGGCTTTCGAAACGCTGAAGGTCAGGATCGCCGCTGCGCCTATTCTTCGGCACTTCGCTTCCAACAAACAGCCCGTCGTGGTAGTGTACGCCAGCAAGTGGACGATCTCAGCAGCTTTGATGTAGGAACAGGATGGCACGTACCAACCTGTGACCTTTGCAAACCGAACGCTTAAGCCGAGAGAGGTCAATTACGGGATCATGGATAAAGAGGTGTTGGCGCTTCTAAGGATCCTAGATGTTTGGTACAGACAAGGTCAATCAAAGTGTTGACTCGACATTCAACATTGGGTTGGCTGTTGCATCGTCGGTTCTACTAGGGCGATTAGGAAACTGGGCTGCTCTTCTGTCGAGTTGGACGCTAGAGATTGTCAAGTGTACCAAGGGCGAGGATGAGATCTTGAGAGCGATCTAAGCTAGCGTCACCCCGCGTGCCGAAGCGGAGGTGCATACAGTGCGATCGTGTAGAGCTAACCTGAATGGACTGAGGTCTCGGCATCGCCCGAGCACAAGGTCAATATTACCGTCAATAAGGCAGAGTACCACGGTCTACAACTCGGTTTCATGCTCGTGTCTGACCTGGACAGGGGACGACTTGTTAACTGTGGCGACTCGAACCTGGTGGTTCGGCAGATGAGTGGAAAGATTGAATGTAAGTCGCCGAGTCTGAAATTGCCCCGGCAGAAAGCAATGGATCAGTTGCGATCTTGGCCAGAACATGAATTTCTCCATGTGAAGAGGGACTGGAACCAGAGCGCTGACAGTCTAGCAAGTGCGGCACTGCAAAAAGGTGAAGGTTCCGTGATCATGACAGAAGCCAACCGGTATGATTTGATAACGCTCAGCCACTTGCCAGAGTTATTGGTCCCTCAATCTGACCAGACGGTGATTAAGATTACAGCCGTCATGAGATCGCACCGGCGACACAGGCCAGAAGTGCTACAGGAAGTTGTTGTACAGCGAGTACCAACGGATCGAATTGCTCGAGCTCAAGGTGAGGAGAAGTGGGATGAGGACCTTAAGATGTATTTGCGAGGGGGTGTGCAGGATCCGACAACGACGGAAGCTAAAACCTGTGCCAAGATCGCAGAAGATTTCGAGACCGACGAGGCCGGCCTTCCCTTCTCCTGTCCTCCGTCCAAACAATCTGGCAAAGATGGCGACCTCGTGATGTACCAGAATTGTTGCAAAGCGACATTCTTCACCACTACCATAGCGTCACGGTGCCGACAGACGCCGACCTACCGACACATAAACGATCAAATCTATATTGAAGGGATATAATGTTTAGGGAGTCCGTCTCGAATCGTCTGAAGAGCCCTCACTATTAAATTGCGGTGCAGATAGAATCAAAGGTACGGCTACGCAAATAATTTACGTCCAAGGCGGCTTCTAACAATATAGCGCAGCTCGTTATCTCGCAGAGGGTTACAATGAAGTGTAACCCATCGGTAGAGGCGTCGACACCGCTCTACAATCGCAGCGGGAAGTAACAAGTACAACGCAAACCCCAATGTACGTCAACGGTCATTGTTCACCTTGGAGGCTGCTTCTAACATTATGGCGTGGTTTATTACATATGAGAGAGCTACAGGATGGAGAAATCAGTCATTAGAAGACTGATATATTGTTTTGCATTCGCGGCGAGAATAAGCAAAGTAGGGGGAACCCCTTCACTTTTTTTTGTAAATGTTGCCCTTCTAAGCCTAATTTTTTGTTCTTTGTGCCCTGTGAAAGCACGGATGTAGCGTCACGAGAATTTCCGACCAAGAAGATGGCAATGTTGCACACTAATTGACGAGGTGGCATTGATAGGAATTATGTACGCATCTAACGTATTATCTATTGTTGAACGGAAGTTATGCTCATGCTAACTAGGTCTTCAATCCAACTTAATCGGCTTTGCAATTTCCTGCTGAAGCTTGGTACGCATTCTCACTCTAGCACGCTCGGCTTTTGCTGACCCAAAGCCAGAACATTGTTTCTCAATATCATGCAGTAGATATATTGGCTTGTGCTGCATCAGATAGCGGCGAATTTTGTCTAAATAGTGAAGGGTAATCACCCCACAGTCATAGCTATTGCTCTGTAACGGCGCTGTCTTGTAAGAATACAACGGGACATCAGTGCGGGACTTCTGGCTTACTTTTTCGAGAAACCACTGCATTGCTTCAAAGAGTTATTTTGCCTTGTGACCGCCATCAGTGCAACCGAGAGAATCAATGTGGTAGATAATAGCGTTCGTCGTCATCTAGTGCTCACAGATGAGGAGGCTAATGTGGTTATTTTTCACGACCGGTAGGAGAAGGTAAGGATACACATTCCAGTTGAAGTTGCGCATCATATCAAGGGCGATATTGCTCCCTTTTTGCGCGACCACCGCGACTTCGATACCGTGAAATATTGGACATCCAAACGTGAACACGGCTCCCACCGCAGCACCCATGAAGCGGTAGATAAAAAATCCATAACTCCAGCTGTGAGTTGCTTACACGGTAATAGAGAATGCAGGTCTGTAGCCATCACGAACTTTCTAGATGTTTCACCATTTTCATAGTGATGTACCTCGTAGGTAAATACGATTGAGTTCGTCGTACAGCCTTTGCACTTGCCAGATCGTAAGATCATCTTAGAGTGAACAGTCTCAGAGTCAGTGTTACTACACCACGCTTCGGAACTTTCACTTGCTGCGCTCACGTCATTGTTGCTATCATCACTTTCACTTGCTGCACGCACGTCATTGCTGCTATCCTCATTTCCACTTTCGGGTTGGCCTGAAGATGGGGTAGAGCAGTTAAAGCTAATTGTAGAGTCGATATCATGTGGATGAAAAATATCCTGCTTGTCGGCTGTGGCGTATTCCAGGTTACCAGGCGTTTTACGCTCGTCACTTACTGTAGTGTTTTGAGTCATGATGTCGGAGGTGAAAGTGTCATTCGTCGGACTAACGGGGATGGGATCATTATCACTTTCTGCATCTTCTGCTTGACAGACCTTGTAATTAGACGCTGAGTTCGAGTTTGTTTTAGAAGAGTGGTGAGTTTTATACCGCTTAATAAATTCCCTCACCCACGAATGCTGGCTTTTATCCTTTTTTAAAGCGAACTCAGGGATATTTTGGCAGTAGGATAAAATTGATGCGTGGCTGGGAATCTCGCCTTCACGAGCACAATTGTCGTAGAAACTCAGCACGTCGAATTCGTAGGAAGTCGTTCTGTGCTTGCGTCCACCGCCCTTCTCGCGGATGCGATTGCCTACATCCGGAGGCACGCGAATGTGTTTGAGTTGGGGATCAGAGTACTGGTTGCGCCATCCGATGAGTGTGCCTTTCTTGACGTTGAGGTTTTGGACAGCATCTTTCACCGTCCATTCCGGGTGCTTCTGCCAGGTTCGTAGCTTGGCCATTTTTTTCGCTACCGGCACCTGGTGAGCGGTTCGTTTCGGCATAGCTGGGAAGTTCACAGGGGGAGGAATTTGACGAGTGAGGGTTGGTATCCACTCTCTTAGTTATGTTTATAACTGTTATTTGTTAAAGGGGATACTTAACAAAATCTGTTCGAGTTATTCCAAATCTTGGTGGCATCTTTTTAAACATTAAGTCGACCTGGTCGCGTTATTCTAAGTCTGGATCTGCATTAAGCCGACCAGACCGAGTTATTCTGGATCTTCGTTGAGTTAATCTTGATCTTGGTCGAGATATTCTGGATCTTGGTTGAGTTATTCTGGATCTTAGTCGAGTTATTCAGGATATTGGTCGAGTTGGTTGGGAGGAGATCTGCACATGAGCGAAAGCATTTTACACGTGATTAGGGGCTGGGTCGGAGATCTTGCCAGTGTTGACCCGCGCTACATACGCCTTGATGAGTAGCTCGAGTTTGCCTTCTCGGTGAAGTTTCCGAAGTTGCTTCAAGACTGATGATCCATTTCTGCTTTTAATTCCGTGATCGCCGAAGAATTCAAACAGACAACGCTCCACCTGCATTCCAGCACGCATCACTTCGTCACAATACGATGGCGTTGATGGGTCAAGAGCAAACCCTTCGGGCAAGAACAGCTTCATGTAGTTGGTGATCTGCTTGTACGCTGACTTCTTTTGGCGATTAGAAGATACATCCCAAAGCCGAGGTGTTTTGGCGTACCATTCGTACCAAATTGCTGCAGGAGACTTCGAAAGAGCATTGGTTCCACACGATTTCTTCTTCAAAACTACTGCTTTCGATTCCATTTCTGTGTTCGGCACATCCGACGCGTTTGGCAGTTTGCGTGTGACAACAGAGCTATGACCACTTGGAAGCACCAGACGATTTTCCAGCTCACTTACTCGCTTGACGAGGTCCTGGTTCAAAGAAACTAGTTCGGCAATAACGCAATTCTGGTGATTGACTAATTGCATCTCCACATCAGAAACTGTTGATTTTTCCTCCACATCAGAAACTGACATTTGCAACACAGAGCTCCATGACAGCACACGCACGGTTGAAACCCCAAGAGCCTTCAGACACTCCCTCACGCGACGAACATATAAACATGACGGATACCGCTCAAATACTTCAGGTAAATGCTGTAGCAACACTGCCGTTAACTGGAGTATCAAGGATTTTGTTCGGATCCTTTGTACTAACGCTCGCTTGGAAAAGAAATCGACACAGAGTTTGAGCGTCCGCTTTTGTTGTAGAATCAAAACTGGAGAAGTCCGGTACAAACGGTCGAGCCTGAGAATCCCAATCACTGAGAACTCGAGAAACCTTTTGGTCTTCACTGGTAGCGTTAAACACGTACGCAAAATGTAACGGGGTTACACGGGTTTACACCTGGTGTATTCCACACATGGGTACGGAGTACCCGAAGAGTTAACAAACCCTCAATACATGACTCGTAGAGTTAACAATGGCCTCAGTACA